CATGCTTGCGCAGCGCTGAGGGGAGCTTGAGCGGCTTCTGACTGGACGCCCAGTTGAGCTGGCCAATCGATATCGCCTTGTCCAGCTCCGTGCGGAGACCCTGCAAAATCTCGGCGGGCTCTTCCCCAGCGTTGCCCTGGTCCGCTGCCCCTCCGCCCTGGGCCTTCCGTCTTGAGACTCCGCGCCACCGCTGTTTGGGATCGTGCGCGGCCGGATGACCGACTTGATCGCCTGCCCCCGCCTCCTTCCTGCCACTCCGCCCGTGCTCTAACCTGCGCGCTGCCGCCAGTCGGTGCTGCTGGCTGGCGAGGAGGGGTGGCGAGCACTCGTCGGCACGGTGGTGTGCAGCTCGGTCGCCTTCCTGCGGCGACCGGGCGGTGATGGATCACCAGCGGGCGCGGCAGGGCCCCCACGTGCCCTTGCCCCGTGACGGAGCGGTGGCACAGGCGCACCTAGGGCAAGAGGACAGCCTTGAAGAACATGAGACCCTCCGCCGGCCAAAACTCAAAGAACATCCAAGGGCACCCTCCCCAGGATGCACAGGAGCATCCATCAAGCACGAAGCACATCAGGGTATCCTCCCCGAGCCGACCTCGATCTTAGCGATCTTAGACCTCTGCCCGGCTGCACCTTGAGCCAAGGATGGCCATGGGCTCTCGACGTCCTTCTGGCTCGCCTCTCCCTCCTTCTCCTCCTTATCCTGCTGTTGCCTCCTCTCCTCCTCCCTCCTCCCTCCCCTCGCCCTGGCCCTCCTCCACACAATTCGAGCAGGAGATGGACTGCAAAACTCACGTACCCAACTTTTGTCCGTCGGATCGACATCGAATCTATATAATGTGTATAGGCCGACGAACATCACACGTATTAGTCCGTAGATCCAAGGAACATGTCAACTCTAGGATCGTTCGATTCTGTAGTCGACCTCACTCTTGCACGATGGCAACGGGTCCTGAGGGAAACGGGGCTTTTCATCCTCAGTCTTTTTCTGACAGTCCCAGGGCCCAGGCAGGAACCTGTGGGAGCTTGAAGCAACGAGTACCCCAGCACAAAGCACCCCTAGCAGCAGCCAGGGTGCAGAGGCAGGTCGAGGAGCAGGAGGTCGGCTGGAGGGAACGTGCACTCTTAGGGATCCCTCTGCGCTTCTTTCAGGAGCGCCGACAGGAGGCACATGGGTGAGAGCACGGCCATGTGCACCATCGTGCATCTGTTGCAAAAGATCGTGGTCTTCCCGATCAAACCTGCAGATTGCAGTGAGGAAAGTGCACGATCCCTGGATAAGCTGCGAGGCAATCTCCGGCGAAACCGCGGCTGGACCCAGACGGTTCCGGGCTAGTTCTCGAGCTCCCCGTTCCCCCTTCGCCCCTGTGGGGGGGTCTTCTGATGACCTTCTAAGCAGTATGAGAACCCTTCAGCGGAATGCTATGAGGGAGTGGGAAATCCAGGGCCCGTTGTCCCAGGGACTCCTTGTCCTTGCTGGCAATCCTCCTCCCCCCCCCCGTCCAGCTGCCGCTCCTCCTCAGAGCACGCGCGCACATAGTTTTGTGCAGGGATCGGTGACGCGGTGAGGCGGTGGCGGCCGACCAGGAAGTCGAGATCGCCGCAGAAGTGCATCACGTCGCCCTGCGCGGCGAGGGGTGGGAATACAGGAACGGAACAGGAGGGGAGGAGTGCGGGAATTTTGGGCCGCATCTGATTCTTGATTCTCGAGGAGGAGTCGCTCGTGAGGCCAGTGGGAAACAGAGAGGAGGAGGACGTGCGCCTTATCCGCCGGCCGCGGCCGCCCAGGGCGTCGCCGTGGCGGACCACGTGGCGCAGCCAGACGCAGGATGATGAAGTACCCCACCCGCGGAAGTCCAAGGATGCGGGCCCCACGAATATACACCACCACCACCACATCCATTCCCCCTCTCTCCTCTACCCTCCTCCTTTCCTGGGAGAGGGATGGCCTATACCCTCCTCCCACCTCCCTCCTCTACCCTCCTCTATCCTCCTCGCTCCTCCCTCATCTTTCCTGTTGGGTATACTTCTGGGCCGCGTAGAGGAGGCCGCGACCACTAGGCCGATCACCGATACCTCCCGGGATCGGTAGCGCTGCCGGCTGGCTGGATTGCCGTCTCGCCCCACGACGCCTGCGGCAGAACGGCAAGACGAAGGACACCTCTAGAATCTCCCCAAAGACTGGCACTGCCCCGCGTCATGGGACCCGGAGGGGGAAGCAACCCTGCTTCTAGTTCGGGAGGCATGTTCACCAGCGGTATTACACGCAACGTCGAGTCGCATGGCACCCTTGGCCAACACCGCTACGTTGCCAACGAAATCCGACAACCCTCGCCCAGCGACATATCGGAAAATAATGCGAGACACGTGGATTCAGACATCGAACGCGTTGCCGATGGCGAACTGAATCCCACCCCTTCTTTCTGCCCAGACTCCTCTCTCCTCTCCCTCCCTCCTCCCTCACCCTCCTCTCCTCCTCTACATTTTCTCAATATGAATACTACTCCCCTCTCTCCCTGGAGTATGTGCGAGCAGCGCTCGTCTCCTAATGCTGTTCTTGCACGCGTACTTGGGGCTCCCGCAGCACACAAACTTACAGAATCATCGTTTCGGCCATCGCGTTTTTGCGTTCAACATGGAGCTCCCGCTGCAGCCTTGGTCTCATGTTAGGATCAACGTTTTGTTCCCGTCGTTCAGAATGGCGCTCTCGCCCCAACGCGGGCCACATGTCTGAATCCAACTCCTCCCTCGTCGTTGTCGCCCCCCCTTTTTCCCTCCCCACCTCCCCCCCCAGTCATCTTGCTCCTCCCGCTCCTCCTTCTCCTGCTCCCAATGCTGCTGTTCCTCCTCCTCCTCCTCCTTCACTGCCTCCTTCGTCTTCCTTCTCTTGTTCCTCCCGTCCATCCTCCAGCTCATCCGCCACCTCCTCCTTCTCCTCCTCTTTCTCCTTCTATTCTCCTCCCGTGTGCACAGCTCTCCTTTTCTGACTGCGCATGACGCGTTCGGATTGCTTTGGCTACCAGAAGTCCGCTACGACCCCCGCCGGCGGATTAAGACAAATCAGAGCTATGGGAAGGGATGGGTAGGAAGGGTAAGATGTCAGAGATGGCGCGAGCGAATTTAGCTTGCCTGTTTCTCCTCTTTCTCCTCCTCCACTCCTCTTCCTACTCTTCCTCCTCCGCACTATTGCCCAAGTCGGTGGCTGCGACTAGGTTGAAGAACCCAGGGCGGGGTTGGGAACGCACGCATCCAAGAGCCTCGCCCAATAGCTGGGCAATTGGATCCGCCCCTTCTACATCCGACGCTCCTCCTCCATTCAGCCCCGAGCCATCCTTATCCCTAAGATCAACAAGCCAAAGCCAGAGCCAAGGGGGGGGGGAAGCTGGGGCCAGGGCCAGGGGGACTGGAGCGAAGGGGTGCGAGGGGAAGCTGGGGCCAGGGCCAGGGGGGCCAGAGCCAAGGGGGGGAAAGCGAGGACGAATCACGAACCACGAACCACGAACGACGACAATAAAGGGTCCGGAGCGAGGCCAGGGCGCTGAGGCCAGGGCCAGGGGGGGCAGAGCCAAGGGGAGGGCGAGGGGAAGCTGGGGCCAGGGCCAGGGGAAGCCGAGGACGAACCACGAACCACGAAGCACGAAAATCAAGAGGTCCGAGCTCTAGAGCACAACTGTGCAAGAGAATAAAGAGGTCCGAGCATTAAAACACAACTGTGCAAGAGAATTAATTTCCAACTATTTATTGTCGGGGTCCCAATCCGTCAATAAGCCGGCGGACAAATTATGATTTTCCCATTATTGCCCAGGGGATTATTAAAGACCCTTTGGGGTTACGGCACGCCCCTCGCGTGCTTCGTGGCGCCAAGAGGAGCTCCACCGAAGACAATTATCTTAACCGCGGTACTCACATGGAGTGGGTGTATTTTGTATTTAGCTTGCCCTCATTCCCCTCGCTCTCCTCCTCACCTCGTCGCCGTCCTCCTCCTGCCCTCCCTTCTCCTTCCTCCTCGTCGCTCCTCCTCCTCCTCCTCCTCCTCCTCCTCCTCCTCCTCCTCCTCCTCCTCCTCCTCCTCCTCCTCCGCTTCCAGCTCTCCCTCCTTCCTCCTCATGCTCATCCTTCACGTTGCTCCTCGTCCCCTGCAAGGTGAAAGTCCGGCGGCGGCCTTGGTCTCTAGCCTCTTGAGGAAGTAAAATGACGCCTGGAAAGCAACGCAAGGGGTCGCGAGAGTTCAGGCATGATAGCAAAGAGAAGAGAGAAGTGGGAGGAGGGGGAAGTTCTTCCCCCACTCCTCCTCCCCTTTTCTTTCCTCCGACTTTCTCCCTCGCCCTCGCACCCTCTTCCTCTCCCCCTCCTCCTCCTTCTCCTCCTCCTCCTCCTCCTCCTCCTCCACCTCCTCCTCCTCCTCCTCCCTCCTCCTCCTCCTCCTCCTCCTCCTCCTCCTCCTCCTCCTCCTCCTCCTCCTCTTCCTCCTCCTCCTCTCACTCTCATAAACCACTTTCCTGGCAGGAAGGGGCAAAGGCAGGTGAGGGGAGGAGGAGAGACAAGGGGAGAGAAACGGGAGGAAGGCGAGATGGGGCCGACGGTGAGGAGGATGGCCTCCTCTTCCGCCTTCCGCCGAAGTTGTCAGGACCCCGGCTGGTATGGGGGGGGGGGCGGGGAATTCCTCAGGCCGCCTCGGACGGCCTGCAGACGAGCTGGACACCCTCGAGCAGCAGGAGGAGGAGGAGGAGAACGAGGAGGAGGAGGCGGAGGAGGAGGAGGAAGAAGAAGAGGAGGAGGAGGACGAGGAGGAGGAGGCGGAGGAAGAGGAAGGGGAGGCTGGGAAAGAAAAGGGGGGACATCACGAGGCACGAACAAGGCACCTGCAGTACTGATGAGACTGCTCCAGCCTCTGCTGGAACTCTGCTTGCTGGTGGTGCTGCTGGCTGGCAGCACCCCCACACAACCCACCTCCCAAAGCCAACCGACCCCACAGAACTCGATCTGCCGTGGAATCGGCACTCTCAGTGGACGACGATCTCGTGGCTGCCGACGGGGCTGGCCGAAATGCCCTTGTAAGAGTTCGTGAGCTCAATGGCCGGGAGCGTTAGGTTTGTCCTCCAACCGATCACGTAATTACCGTTCGCCTGGGTGGTGTTCCAGATCGGCGTGTAGATCCCGTGGATGCCGTGTGCGATGGCGTTCTTGGCATCGTCCTGGAACCACGCCTCATTCCACGTCTGCCCAGGATTCGAATCGATGAAATTCCACTTGCCGTCGAACCACGCCTCCACCCAATTGTGGTTGCCGCCCGACTCCCGGTTCCACTGCGTGGTGCCCACCACGCGGGCCGGGACGCCCACCGACCGCATCCCGTCGGCCAGGAAGATGGACATGCCGGTGCAGGACGCGTACCTCTTCTTCAACAGGTCGTGCATGGGAGACAGGACCTCCGGCGTCGAATTCGACTTGAAGTGAATAGCGGGCTCGCCGAACGCCGTCCAGATTCCGTCCGAGACAGCTGTGGCAGCCTCGCGGAGGCTGTGGCACTTGCTGACCAGGGGCCCCAACTTGGAGTTGAAGTAGCCCCTCCAGAGCTCGGGCCTCTCGTCGAAGTGCGTGTACGGGAGCACGAAGTCGTGCCACAGCGCGCGCGGCACCTCCCTGGCCCACGGGTGCTCGTCGGAGATCTTGAGCGCCTCCTCGGCGTGTTGCCTCACGAACGCGGCGTCCGCGCCGTCCGCTGGCTTGTACCTCTGCAGCCAGGACACGGCGTCCTTCATCAGCTCGTCCGACACCGCGGCGTCCTTGGACCACCGCATGGGATCCCCACCCCTGCAGGTCAAATTTCAGAAACGCCGGCTGGGGTTCAGACTCCGAAGGATGTCCGCACCCAAGCGAGCCTCAAACATGGGGACACAAACAAGTACTAACTGATTCCGCTACCCCCGGACCTCTCCCGGGGTGCGTTCTGACTAGAATTTCGAAGCGAATCCAGCCGTGGCGACGATGGCGTCCCAAGAGGCAAAATGGGAACCAAGGAAGGGTAGCGGTATCGGTAGCTGCTCTTCCTCTGACAGCAGGGGCGTCCGATGCCCTAGCGTCGAGCGGCGCGGTTGACAGCAGGGGTGTCCGGTACCCCATACAGGGGCAGGGGTCCCACGTGTGATAAACAATCAGAGTAACCCTGACCCTTTGGAAAGGGGACCCGAGTTAGGAGGGACAAACACATTAGGGATATAGGAGGTGTTTTTTGCCGATGTCTCAAACGAAGCGACCCACATGCTTAGGGATAACCCGAAACACCGTGGACGGAATTTAGGCCACGAGTTCATGGTGCTATCAGGGTTAGGATTAGAAAGCGCAGTGTCCTCTAGGGACTGTCTTCCCCCCAAACGACGCACCCTTCCAAAACCCTCCGAAGAGCCTCCTGGAACCCTTCCCGGAGGGTTTTCGGAACGTTTCGGAAGGGCTTCGATTACTTTGAAAGGGAACCAATCTCCAGCGAACCCTGGACTTTCCGATGTCAGGAGTCGTATTACCAATCGGTCGGAAGACGTAGGTCGGAACATGAAGTAGGAAGGCGTTGCAAGCAGATTGGATGTCCGCCCGCCACCTAAAGAGGACGAAGGATTGCAAAAAAACCCGAAGGATTGCAAAAAAAACCCTCGTTCGAGGGGTTCGAGGGTTTTTTTTGCAATCCTTCGTTCGAGGGGTTTTTTTGCAATCCTTCGGCCACCTAAAGGGTTTTTTTGCAATCCTTCGAAAGGTGAAGCCACTAGATCATTGAAGTTGGAAGGCGCTAAAGCGGATTGGAATCTGGAACTCCCAAGGTACCTACTTTCAACGGCCGATGGGTTTTACATTTAGGTGACCCAGAAGGGGTCCCTCTGAAAGGGTGTGGTGCGATAGATGTTGGGCAACTGTACTGCAAGTGTAATGAGCCGGAGAGTTGCATTGCATTGTATTGCAAGTAGTGTGTTGAACGCGAAAATCCAGCAATATATCTGCGCCCTGGAATGTATTGCACGCCCCACATGTATTGCCCCCATATATATATACATATAGATATGTTTGTATGTATGTATGTATGTATGTATGTATATATATATAGATATTGCACCAGATCTATTGCACCACCCCCTTGCCGCTGGACCCCATTTTGTCTCAACCCGACTCTGATGACGCGTGGGGCAGCGCAGCCTCGGGAGAGCTCCGGACAATACACCACCACCAGCCCCGTCCAGGCCCATCCTGGGCCCTGGGCTGTTGCACAGGTCCTCCTGGCCTGGGCCTAGAGGTCTATGTGCCAGCCCAGGTCCCAAGATGGACCTGGCCAGGGCTGGTGGTGGTGGTGTATCGTTGGCGTCCCTCCGAATGAAGGGTCCCTGGGACACGCAAATAAATACACACAAATAACAGGACCCCCCCCCATATTTTCCCATCTGTTCTCGGCTTTGGTCTTCCCCCCCACTTCCCACATTTTCCCCATATCTTCTGGGGAATCGTCGATGCATTGTGTCCGTGTGTGTGTGTGTGTGTCTTTCCCTCCGGACTGACATCTCCTGCACCAGCGCGCCCGGCGCGAGCGCGGCGCCCGCGGTGGCCCTCCGGCCCGCCTCCTGGCGCAGCAGGCCCCCGGGCCGCGCGGCGGGCACGCCGGCGGAGGCGGCCGAGGACGCGGCCGCCGAGAGCGCCAGGAGCCTCGCGAGGCCGCGGCCGTGCCCCCCGCGCACGGGGCGGGGCGGCGTGGGCCGCCACATGGCGCGGTGCGCCGGGGGCGCTGCCCGTGAGACGGGGCTGAGCCTCCACGGCGGTCTCCGCGTTCGTGCTGTGTTCGTTGGCCCTCGTTTGTGTCCTCGGTCCACCTCTACCGCAGAACGGAGTCGAAACGAACACGGCCCACGAGATCGCCAGAAGCACCGTTCAGGTCCAGCCCTGCCCAGAGATCCGAGGATACGATGTCTTCGATCTGGTGGCTACTCTCCTGGGTGTTTCGGACTCCGGGGCCTGCCGTCGGGCCCGCGGGACCATCAACAAAAACGGCTCCGGGGAGAGACACCACGCCAGGGGGGAGGGCCCAGGACCCCTGGGGCCGCGGGTTGGAAATGTCACACAGGCCTTCGGGAAACCATAGCGAACACTCATGCCACACTCATATGTCCACGCCTCCCCATCCCCCCAGTGTTCAGAGTTGGCGGTGGGTCTGATGAGTTGCACCTCGACCGCAGTCTCCCCCGCGCGTGCCAACTTTGAGTTTGGGGGGCAGGGGGGGTGTTTACTAATTGTTTCCCTCTACCGTATCGGCGGATGCCTGGCTCGGCGGCGCGCCGAGGTGGGAAGCGAGAGAGAGGGGGGGGGGGAGGAGGCGCCGAGGAGGCGGCCCTCTGCGAGGCCGCCGCCGTCCTCGGAGAGGGCTCGTGATGGACCTGTTTTCCACCACCGCCACTAGAAGTTTGAGGGGGGAAGGAGGTGGAGGACGAGGTGGTGGAGGAGGAAGAGGAGGAGGTGGATGAGGAGGAGGAGGAGGAGGTGGAGGAGGAGGGGGAGGAGGAGGAGCACCCCCTCACCGCCAGGAGCAGCAGCAGCAGCAGGAGCCCCTCCCCCCTTCCAGCTCCTGGTGGCGGTGGCGGAGAGCAGGCCCCTCGGGCTCGGGAGGCTCCCCGGGAGGCCCCCGGGGGGGCCTCCCGAGCCAGCTGCGAAGGCACGGCCCCCGGGGCCCTTTCCCCCCCCCCCCGGGGGTGGGGCGCGCCGCCGACCGACTGCCGCCCGCGGCGGGCAGGATATCCAGGATACGGAGCGGCAGTGCACCTAGCGCGTGCACGTTCTGCAGCCGAGGTGGCCCTGGAGCCGAAGCGGCTGCCGAAGGGGAGGATACGGAGGGGGAGCGACAGGGGGGGGGATATATGCTAAAGGGTAGGGCAGAGAAGCAGCTCATGCACCCGATCTTTCCAGCGCCTCCTGGCCCTCCTGGCGCCAGGAGGCGCCCGGCGCCCGTGTATCGGGGAATGGGTCCGGCGGCTGGGCCGAGACCAGCTGCATGCAGCAGATTTCGTAACCCCTCCTTCCCTCTCCCACCCTTTCGCTCGGCCCGAAAGGAGAAGATGCCAGGGAGGAGGACGAGGGGGAACAACAGGGAAAGGATAACATTCAGGGCGCCGCCAGGGGATCCAGCGCCGACCCAAGAAATCCGCGCGGACCTCCGACGTATTATGTTTATGCAGTCTGTCATTCTTCGAAGGCGGCGCGTGACGAGCAGCAGCAGCAAGAGGCGAGGCCCATCGGCATCCCGCAGGCGCCCCGAGACGGGCGCGCACTGCTCCGGGGCGGCTGATGCAGCCCGACAGAGCGCCCTCCGCGCCGCAAGACATGTCGGACAAGCCAGTCAGCCAGCCATCCCTGGCCGAGCAGACTTCGGCGACCTCCATCGACCAGTGGGCTGACTGGGCACACGGCTGGGCTCACCTAACACATACGGGTGGGTCATCATCAAGGGGGTGAATTTCAATGTTACCCATGATTTGACGCATCCCATGCTCTTGCAAACATCCCACCCACTCACCCTCACGGTAGGTCTCAAATGGCACTTGGTAACGACACCGACGCCGACGACAGGGACATCGACGACGACGACGACGCCGACGACTACGACGACAACGACGACTTCTCCGACGACTTCGACGACGACGACAACGACGACGACGACGCCGACGAGACGACGATGACGACGCCTGCGACGACGACGACGCCGACGACGACGACGTCGACGACGCCGACGACGACGACGACGGCGGCGACGACGACGGCGGCGACGACGACGACGCCGAAGACGACGACGAGGCCGACGCCGACGACGACGACGACGACGACGTCGCCAACGAAGACGACGACGACGGCGACAACGACGACAATGACGAGGGAGGAGGGAGGACGGCGACGACGCGAACGACGAAGAAGGAGGGAGGACGGCGACGCCGTCGAAGACAACGACGAGGGAGGAGGGAAGACGACGACGACGATGACGACGACGACGGCGATGAAATAGGAGGGACGACGACGAGAAAACGACGACGGACAACGACGACGACGAGGGAGGAGGAAGGACGACCACGGCGACAACGACGACAGAAACGACGACGACGGAAACGACAACGGACGACGACGACGACGACGACGACGACGAGGAAAGACAGAGGACGATGACGGCGACGACGACGACGACGACGAGGGAGGAGGGAGGACGGGGACGACACCGACGACGCAAGAGCGCGCGCGCACGCTTTTGTTGAACATCTGTGGTGCGAAATCCTGGGTGATTGTACGTTTTTTGGACACTAGATTTTGAAATCCTTCCGAAACCGAAGGTGTTTGAAGGATTTCGGCATGCGCGCGCGACGACGCACGCGCGTGCACTTCGTCTGATTTGTTGCAGAGGATTCTCGCGACGGCACGCTGGCAAGGGCGTTCGAACGATTTCGACATGCGCGCGCGCGAAGCCCGTTTGGTAGTATGTTAAAAACCTATGGTTTTCTTGAGATTTCGCGAGAGCGCGCGCATGAGCTTTTTTAGAACATCAGTGCTGCGAAACCTGGTGTTTTCCTTTGTTTTTTGGAAACTCGATTTCGCAATCCTTCCGAAACCAAAGGTTTTTGAAGGATTTCGGCAGGCGCGCGCGACGACGCGGGCGTGCGCACATCGTCCAATTTTCTGCAAGGGATTCTTGAAAACTTGATAGACGAGAGTGCGCGCAACATATTTTTTGCAGAGGATGGCGGGGGGTGTGATACCAGCCTCGCTAGGATAGTATGAATTCAGATTCAGGATGGACGATGGGGCAGAATCACATGTAAATTGCAATACGAAAAAGTGTACCGTTAACTCCGGGGGGGGGATAGAGTTTATTCTTCTCTTAGAAAGGAGAATACAACAGACTTGAAAACCAGAGAAATTACATCGTTCTGTCGATCGTTGTGTCGCGGCCGCCGAAGGCTAGGAGCAGCCGAGGGAATAAGTTCCAAAACACACGGCGGTCCCGGCGGCCCTCAGGAGAGAAGGCTGTGCACCAGCCGATCGCGTCCGATGTGGACGCGTCTTCGCGGACTGCACATACTCATCTTTAACGTGCCGCGAGCACAGCCCTTCGAGTTTTTGTTCGCCAGAGAGCTTGCCCAGCCATCGAATCGTCATGGCGGTGTAGATGGGACAGCAACGATACGCGTGATAAACAATACCACTGGCTCCAATGTTGCCTTTGAATTCCCTGGCCCTGCGCATGCTGACCTGCGACAGATCTCGAGAGGATCCCTCGGCAGCCGTAGTATTCATCCTAAGATCTTGAATTTCAGACGGTCTCTAGCGAGAACTACTGATGGCGATGGGTTTAACCAGAGGCGGAAAGAGTAAGTAAAATTACACAACTACTTTGATCGAGCTTCTGCACCCCCCGCCTGAGTTTGACCACCCTGCTTGCAAGGGTCCAAGCGTTTTTCTGGGCGGCGCTCACACAAATGGCCGACCCCGATCGCTGGAGGTCGCGTGTGGGGTACTGTGCTACCGTGTCTGATCTGCCCTTTTGGCATGACCCACCTCCTGCATCTGAATTACCGACCGCCTGGGCTGATGTGTTTCTTGAAGGGACGCCAGCGAAAGGAACTTCCGAGACACCGGCGTTGCATCTGAGACTTCGAAGTGCGAGTGAATGCGTCATGCGACGGCCTTGCGGGCGACGCCGATCGGCGTCGCCATCTCAAAACTCCTTTTCCTTGTGGTCCCGTTTGGAAGCGCATGATGGGCGCACCAGCAGCTGCATGCAGCTTCGCCTGCTCCTGCACAACCCTCAGTGCTTCACGCTCTGAGAGTTCTCCAGCCGCCCGAGGCCCGCTGGAACCCCCTCCCTGGCACGCGGATCGGCGGCGCCAGAGGCGCCAACAAGCCTTCCATCGCTCGGACGTCCTTTCCCCGGACATGTTTCGGCTTCGTGCACTTTTTCCCCACATGTTTCGTGGGGCTCTTGTTTCCATCCCTGCCGCGTCGCACCCGCGACCCTCACTCCTCAACTCCCCTCCTCCTCCTTCTCCATCTCGCACAGCGCAGCACAGCTCAGCACAGCACAGCTTAGCTCAGCATAGCACAGCTCAGCATAGCACAGCATAGCACCTCAGCACAGCACAGCTCAGCTCAGCACAGCACGACGGTCGTCCAGGGCACAGCAGGCGTGGGGTCTTATCGACACCATAGGGGGTGCGCAGGGGGTGGTCCCCGAGCGCGGCGTCTATGCGGGCCATGGCGCAGGGCATAGCAGGCGTGGTACTTTCGCGACACCATAGGGTGTGCGCAGGGGGTGGTCCCCGAGCGCGGCGTCTATGCGGGCCATGGCGCAGGGCATAGCAGGTGTGGCATTTCCTCGGCACTATAGGGGGTGCGCAGGGGGTGGTCCCCGAGCGCGGCGTCTACGCGGGCCATGGCGCAGGGCATAGCAGGCGTGGCGTTTTCTCGACACCATAAGGGGGTGCGCAGGGGGTGGTCCCCGAGCGCGGCGTCTATGCGGGCCATGGCGCAGGGCTCAGCAGGCGTGGTACTTTCTCGACACCACAGGGGGTGCGAAGGGGGTAGTCCCCGAGCGCGGCGTCTACGCGGGCCATGGCGCAGGGCATAGCAGGCGTGGCATTTTCTCGACACCATAGTGGGGGCGCGGGGGGTGGTCCCCGAGCGCGGCGTCTATGCGGGCCATAGTGCAGGGCATAGCAGGCGTGACATTTTCTCGACACCATAAGGGGTGCGCAGAGGGGTGGTCCCCGAGCGCGGTC